AATATCAACTTTGAAATTTGACCTAATTTGACCTGACCTTGACCTGACCTTCACCAAAACGTGACCTAGGCTGGCCCCAAAGGCTGCCTAACCCACATAATCGCATTTGTCATGTAAAATTGACCATAAAACATGTATCACACGACACTTTCATATTGTGACCCCCGGTGACCTGACCTCGCTGTGACCTGACCTGGTATTAGTGACCTCAGATACCAAAGTATGTGTTGGCGAACAATGTACCATCGATGGTTTTCAATAAATTACCAATTTACTCGATTTCACATCACATTTCTTGAAATGCCTGTGAACAGTGAAAAACTTACCTTTGACCTGATCTGTGACGTCATCGGTTTGACCTAGGTCAATGAAATTTGATCACAAGGTAGTTCCCGGGTGGGGCTATCAAACACCGTTTGAATTTTGAAAATCGGCCGGTAAATTTCCAAGATCTTAGGGGGGGGGCCGAAACGGCCCCTCCCTACGGGTGGTAGGGTCCGCCGGTAGCCCTACGGGGCGCGGGTTAAGACTCCCAGCCAGCAATTCGGTTGGGGAAACTTTTCCCCAAACTTTCCCCGGGAAAGTGCGGGGGCAGTGTTGGGGAAAGCTTGGGGAGAACGTATAATTCCCATATTGGATCGGGGGACGGTCCGTGTTCCCCATCCATTCCCCGACTGTATCGGTAATATGTTCAAAAGACATGGGGAAATCATACCGATCCCCGTACGGGGAAAGAGCAGCATTCCCCAATCAAACCCCACTGTTGGGGTTCGGTCTGGTAAAAGATCAGACTCCCCGTACGGGGAAGGGTGCGTTATCCCCGACCCATTTTCAAGAACAGTTTGATTGGGGAAAAGTAAAACTGTTGAAATTCCCCGTCCGGAATTTAAAACTTAATCCCCAGACGAATCCCAACCGCCAGTAGGACGTCTTGAGATCGACTTCCAGCATGTAATTCCACAAGTATTCAATAAAGAAATATTGCATCTTGGGAATGCTAAAAGTAGTTTTAGGAGCAGTTCTAGAGCTATAGGCTCATGCATCGATTGAAGGGAGATAAACTAAAAATATAACGATATAACGATTTTTATAACGATATAACGATATAACGATATAACGATTTTTTATAATCGTTTTCATGACATTTGATCTGGCGAATGCATCAAACTTGACCAAATTTGCACCAAATGTCTTTTTCATATCTTCATATCATATACCTATTTATTTTAGTGTTTTAACACGCGCAGTGGAAGGGTTGCGAGTACTACGCCCAGTGGAAGGGGGGGGCGGATGGCGCCCCCCCCCCTAAGATCTCAGCTCCCACTGGAGCTAGAAAGACGGAATTGGAGCGTAGGTGGGGGCCCTGGGGAACTCTGTTGTGTGTGAATTTCATGACCCTAGGTCAATATCTTCAAGGTCAAATAAGGTCAAATATGGTCAAATCTGCAATATGAGTGACTTTTTGCGTTTACACGCCGATAACTCAACAAGTTATCGGCCGATTTTCTTTTTTCTTTCAATATACGAAAGAATAGACATTTGTGAGTATATACGAGTATGGTGAATTTCTAGTTAATCCAACAATAAATATGGCAGTGGGTAGCCTGCTAAGCGTAAAATGTCGCCGGCTGAAGCGGGATCGGCCGACGCGGGAAAGGCGGCAATCAAAGTTTTGTGTTTACACACTCATAACTCAAGTTGTTACCGGCCCATTTTCAAAATTCTTTGACCATAAGATTGCCTGTACATTTTTTTGTCTTCTCACAAAATTTGACGCGAATCGAATATAATCAACGGTAAGGAGCGCGATGTAAAGCCGGAACCGTCCCGCCCCGGCACAGTCTACAATTCAGGCGGCGCGTAACGGCTAGCGCCGGCCGCCGCTGACCCAAAATTTTGATTTTCCCGTAAAAAATTTTCCTATAGGGAAAAAGTGAAATTTTCCTGCAGGGCTCTGTCTGGGTAAACGAGAGCTTTCGATTGATACCCATTTTTACCATAGCACCACTTTTTTGTCCGTACAAAGGCGATTTTACGGATATTTTACGAGTCTAGGGGGCTTTACGGGCCTTAAACGTCAATGCAACGGGGACCGTTTTGGGGAAAGTTTCTCGTCTGGTGGTGGGGCGCCTGTGTGCCGAATTTGAACGAAATCGGGGGGACCCCCCATTGACCAAAAATTTTGATTTTCCCGTAAAAACTTTCCTATGGGGAAAAAGTGAAATTTTCCTGCAGGGCTGTGTCTGGGTTAACCAGAGCTTTCGATTGGTGTGGTTTTTAACCCGTTTGTGACGTCATTTCTAGGGGAAAACGGGTCATAAAGGTTTCCCCCCACCGAGCATGATTTTCCCCCTACCGAATCTGTGCTGTGCTGAATCTGTGCTGAATCTGTGCCAACTTCCGTTACATGTGGAGTTAATTCGTAATTGCTCGCATGAGCAACCGAAGAGCGACTTCCAGGCGAAGCTGGTAAGCAGTTTACATGGGAGTGGGGGGTTAGCTTAGAGCTGTTGAACAACCTGTCCTTCAACCAAGTCTTAAGGCTGAGACACACTCTTTCTACAGCCACACTCTTTCTACATACTCTTTCTCTCTTTCTATCGCATCAACCGCTTACATTGATGTGCGAACGATTGACGCGATTGTAGGAAATAACATGCATTTGCGACTTGCGTTTGATTTTCGAGCATACGCTGACTTTATGGCAGCCTATGCCCGATTTTCAATTGATTTTAATTTACCCTGACTTTTTAGGCAGGGTAAATCAAAACTAGTGTATTTTGATAGGAAACGTCCAGATCCGAGCTCATACTGATTTTGGAGCAGGTCAGCTTAAATCCTGCATACCCTGCCTTGGAAAATTGTAACATTTTGCTAGTTCCTATTCTATCCACCAGGTGGCAACACAGAAAGAAACTTTTTCCCTGTTTATTGAAAGTATGGCAGCAGCATTACTTCATTTGGCTACAATTCGAGTGCGAAAAAAGACGCTACGTTTGTGGCGCAGCGTGTGAAGGGGTTGTTGGGCCGTATATACCTTGGTATATACTCAAGTGAGTTTTGTGGAGTGGGGGCGTCGTCGGTTGGATTGCGAATTGCGATAAGTTTTCTTTAAACCGTGGATGCGTGGATGTTCAGTTCATTATATGTAGAGTTCAGTGCGTGGATGTGATGGTGGCAACCTAGGCAGGGCTACCTAATACCTGCCTTGTCAGCTGGATTTTCAGTGTCAAATTCTTTGTAGAGTATCTCAGACCACATCTCAAGACTCAAGGCCAGTTTCCAAGCAGTGTCGATGTGCTTTGTGGTATTTTGATTCTGCCTTTTCTCCTAGGGAATGCTGTCATGAACATACCTATTACCAACCATTAGACTTACTAATTGATCGTGCTTTTGCAACATGAATGAGTATTCTTCCTTACATAGACCACAGTAGATACTTGACAATTCTAATTAACCAAATCTGTGAAAAGCTGAGGTCCATGTGTTACCCCTACACTTAGCAATGTAACTTCTACCACAAAATGTATTTTGCAGTGGCTAAGAATTGACTGAACTTGGACTGAAATGCCATTTCCCATTACTTTCCATCATAATTTACCAAATAACTTAATTTTTGGGTAAAGTAATAGCAAATATAATTTCGGTCAAATTTCGGTCAAATTTTGGCTTGGGATGTTATCGGTCGGTATGCGGTCGGAAATTTTTCCCAAATTTCGGTTTCGGTCGGTATCGGTCAGACATTTTTGGGAAAATGACACCACTATCAGTCATTGACCTTCCAGGTCAGGTCAAACTAAAAAATGTTGCTGTTTTGGGTCACCGCTGGTTATCAAGTGCGCTGCTTATCATATACCGATGACGATGCCGTTCTCTGGTGCCAAGCCAGCTAGAACCTCTTTGTCACACTACCCGACCAGGTTTTTGCTGCTGAGGTCATTTCAGGTCAAGTTAGGTCAAGGTCAATGATATGTCTTTGTATGTCTGTGTGTGTCTGTGTGTATACTGATGTGTGCACCAATTGTTTATGTATCCATATTACATGAAAATAATGATCTGAGAAGCTTTTACCAAAAATGCAGTCAAAAAAATTAACGAAAAGTAAATTCTGCTTGCCTAAAACGCAATTATTTTAGATGACCTAGGTTGACCTTGACCCTGACCTTGACACCTGTACATCGTCGAACAACATGTTCCATGATAGGTGGGAGGTAAGACTGGCAAAAAAGGTCGAAATCAAGGTGTCAAAAGCTCACAAGGCCCATAGCCAACGCAAGATGTTGAGAATTGGTCATTTGGGTCATAACATGACCTGATAAACCAGGAGGTCATATCTCCGAAACCAAATACCACAGAAACTTGAAATTTTGAGTGGACATCAAGAAAGGATAGAGGAGCAGCTATACGAAACATCAGCCTTATAGCTCTAAAAATGTTGAGTGCAGAGCAGAAAACTACCTGGGGGGGGGGGGGTGGCAACCATCCCCCCCCCCCAATGTGCGGGCGAGGGTTAAATAGCAAGATATGTACTAGGCAACTGACGACCTATCACTGATTTTCGATAAAATGCGTTTTACGCGCATTCCCTAGAAGACCCGTGAACGGCAAAATATGTTATCTTTGACCTGACCTGTGACGTCATCGGTGACCCCGAGGTCAATGAAATTGGATTTCCCTCGACAAATTTGACAGGGCTTTGGAAGTCGTTCGAATTTTGCGGATCCGTCCAGTAGTTTCGGAGATACGGGGTGGGGCCAAAATCCCCCTCCCCCACCGCGCGGAAGGTGGCCGGGAGGCCTCCGCTTGCCGGGTAAGTAACTAATGACCTGATATGAACTAGGACCTATTTTTTCGGTAGTTATGTGAAATAGATGTCCGAAGAGGTACTGAAAGCGGCGAGTCGAAATTTACGGCCACTTTTGAGTTAGCTGTGAAAAAACACGCGGGGCCCCTTGCCCCTCCCCCCGAAGTAGTCTCGGGTTAACATTGCAGTAACTTACCATGCCTCTGCATCTCGAATGTTCATCTTCATGTGTCGTGCAGTTTTGAAAAATGGATGTCTTCCTTTGGAGAGGACGTAGAAGAAGACCAAGCCGAGGGAAAACACGTCCGCCGCACCAGGCTGAAAAGCAAACATTCTAATAAATGGCTGGATGGATAAAACCCAGAAAAATATTAGCCGTATTCCATGCACCCCATGATATTGGCCAAGGAATCCTCATATTATGCATTGACTAAGAATTGCCTCTCCAACCATGGTCATATTCATTTCTGGACAGGTAGTCGACATTAGACGCGAAAATAGCTACCACTGAAATCACAGGCTACCTGCGTTTACGTTGAATTCGTTCTCAAGCAACGACGAGAGTATAGCAGTGAGCCATGATTAACGGGTATTACACTGAGAGCGCGACCCCTGGTAACCCCTTAGTGTCAGCTTTTACCAGGTGGGGATGGTAACTTTTACTAGTAGAAACTAAAGTGGTACCAGAGGGTCACTTTTAGTCTGACCCCTGGCATCGACCTGGTCAAACCCTACCCTTGTAAGTGTCGAGGGCTGGTATACCCCTGATAATTTTCTCTCTCAGTGTATGGGTACTTACAGTTTCCTGCTCGCCCGCAATCACCTCCGGAGCCATCCATCCCTGAGTGCCGACGGTACCAGACATTGTCCATTTGCTCGTTGTCAGGTCCTTGGATACGCCAAAGTCGGCGAGTTTAGCCACGGTTTCACCTCTCTTGTTCTTAACCAGCAAAATGTTCGATGGCTTGATGTCCCTATGAACTGAAGAAGAAACGTGCTGAGTTTGTTTTGGGCAATAATTTGTGACACAAAAGGCCCAGTTAGTAACTTAGCTATCCAGTAGCGGCCGGTCTACTAAGGCATAAACGGCAGTAAAAATCTACCAAATGGGACACACTGCAACACAACACTCTTTGTCCCATGTGATCCACACATGTTACGCTTAACCCGCGCGGGGCTGGGGGGTAAATTTTACCCCCCTCGCGAATTTTTGCAATATCTCAAAAACGGCGGCGTGCGCACCGCCAAACTTTCAGTACCTTTTCTTACATCAATTTGACACGTTCCCTGAAAATTTGAGCGAAATCCGTGGGAGAAATTGACGTTTTAGTGACGTCATGTTCGCCATTTTCGCCTCAAAAACGGCAAAATTACAAACGCCGCTAACATCTTCATTTTTAAAGGAAACAAGACGTAACAAAAAAGGTTATACGTATTTTAAAACTTTGTCTATCAAATGGCTATCTCAGTTTTTAAAAATTTTGGATTTTGGCCCAATGTTTTTCAAAAAACTGACTTTTTTGGGAAAATAATTATATAATCCAAAATTTTGAGTATATCGAAAAAACCGGAATATATGTCAGAGAAGTGGTCTATGTGCACCTACATACCAATTTTTAGAAGAATCGGTTCAAAAATGTGGGAGTTATTCAAGATTTTATGACGTCACGACACACACAAATTTTGAAAAATAAGTTTTTCGGAAGTTATAGATCTCGTACGAAAACAAAAATAGCACCCTTCGATTCGCCGTGAAAAACTGCATCTGATAGACACCTTTTTAGGCCCTAACAACCAACTTCAAAATGTGACCTCACTTGACCTGACCTTGACCTGACCTCGACCTATAATTTATCCAGAGGTGGTCCATATCACTTATTGAGTGTGCCTATTGAATTCTATGAGTAAAATGACCCATAAAACATGTGTCGCACATGCCCTTTTCTATATTTTGTTTTTGGTGACCTGACCTGACCTGACCTGACCTTGACCTTGACCTCTGAATGATATTGTATGCAACGAACATTGTCTTGGTAGCCTAAGAACACGTTTTGGGCAATCAGTCTCAGTCGATGACTCCATTCTTCGGCAACTACGGTGCAAGGCCGATACTGTAGAAACTTGCAATTTGTACCCTTGACCTGACCTTGACCTTGACCTCAAACTTTAAATTAAGTACATGTTTTTAGTTGTTCGTGATGAGATCTTTCGATTGGCGTTTGATTTTTCCAAATAGGACCATTAGTTCGGGAGATAACAGGGGGGGGGTAAAATTTACCCCCCCAGCCCCGCGCGTTCGGCTGGAGACCCCAGCCCCGCGCGCGTTAACCTTCCAGGCGGGGGGGGGGAATTTTTTTGCCCCCTTTAGTTTTTTCGACATATCTCGAGAACCGCTGCGCCGATCGTCACCAAACTTTCAGTACCCTCCCGGGAGCAGCTAGCGCGAAGGTGACCAAAATTTTTTTCCAAAGGCTATGATAGGTTGGACGCTAATGACGTCAGAGTGACGTCATTTCTGCCATTTTCGACCAAAAAAAGGTTTCGCGAGAAGAGCTGTCAGGCCTACAGCTTTAGAGATACAAAAAAATGCTTCAGCTATAAAAGGTGTAGAATTTGAAGAACTACAAAACTGCTATCTCGGATTTTTGATTTTTTTTTTGTATTTTGACCCCCAAAATTAAAAAAAAAATTGAATATAATAGCCAAAGAAATCCAAAAAGTTTTTTTTTTAATTTCGAAAAAACGAAGATATGTGATAGTCCATACCGCCTTCTATCTACATACTAAATTTGAGATCTATACCTCTTTTTTGGCCAAGTTATAGCGAAAAAATTGTTCAAAATTGATGACGTCAAATTTTCAAACTCAATTTTTTGCAATTCTAGACCTCATAGCGCAAAAAAAGAACACCATTAGACTCCCCGTGACGAGCTGCATCGAAGCATTACCCATTTTAAGCAAAAATATCAACTTTGAAATTTGACCTTTTTGACCTGACCTTGACCAGACCTCCACCAGAAAGTGACCTAAACCGTACCTGATGGTCTTATAACGAACACCATTGAGTTGGAAATGAAAAACTGGCCATACAACATGCATCGCACAACCTTAGTAAAGTTGGGTTCATGTGGTGACCCTTGGTGACCTTTGGTGACCTGACCTGTGACCTGACCTTGTATGACCAGTGACCTCTAATAGCAACATATTTACTAGACAACTGACGCCCTATTGCTGATTTTCGACAAAATGCGTTTTACTCAGTGTTATAGCGCTTTCCTTAGAAGCCCCATGAACGGTGAAACATTTTATCTTTGACCTGACCTGTGACGTCATCGGTGACCCCGAGGTCAATGAAATTTGGTTTCCCTTGACAAATTTGACAGGGCTATCGAAGCTGTTTGCATTTTCCGGATCCGTCCAGTTGTGTTGGAGATACGGGGGGGGGGGGCAAAAAAATGCCCACCCCCACCGCGCGGAAGGTGGCCGGGAGGCCCACCGCCTACCGAGTTAAAAGGACCCTCCACCTTAACACGCGCACCGACGGGGGGATGTTGATATCCGCCCCCCTGAGGTTTTTCGCGAATAGCGGGAAAACGGCGGCGTGTAGCGCCGCGAAATTTGGTACGACTATTTTCTCATCAATTTTACACATGGTGTGCAAGTTTGAACCTCCTAACTTTTAAGGTCAGGTCACCAGGTTACTTTGAATGACCCAATCTCAAGTCACTTTTTTGCAACTTTGTCGCCGTGCCAGAGCACACTGGTCGGAAACGGTTTAGCGAGAGACCAGCGGCATTTCCGTAAGTGGTTTTTGCTTGTTATTTCACAAGTAGTGGACCGAACTCAATGAAACTTAGTATACCTCTTCTGCTATATGAAAGCTGTCATTTGGGTGTCGAGCACTAAATATATGACGCAAAACTGTTAAGTTATGACGTCATAACTGAGTATATTACAGGATCTAGCTCTATTATTTGTAAACATAGGAAACTGGAAGCTGCTCTTCGGGCACCAGGAATGTATTCATGCACTCCTTGCAAGGTCCGGTACTTCACTTTTGCATTGTTGACTTTGCGTGACGTCATTGATGGCGTCACTAAGACCATTTTAGTTTTGCGTAAATAACCCTCGATCAAATTGAGCTAATGAATCGGGAAAACCGGCAGTGATTTCAGAAATACCTGTGTAATTGAATGCTATGCGATATGATCTTCGACAAACTTAACCTTGGGAGACTCTGAACTAGCCTTGACCCTAGATCAACACCTTTATCTGACTTTACCCGAACAAGAAGTAGGTATAGCATTAGACGAGCCTGAGCTAGACAAACACGATGTTGCAAAAAATCGCTGCACTGCGACAATTTTTGGCGGTGTTATCAAGGGCGCACACAAGGGGGGGGGCACACGGGCCCGTGCCCCCCCATTCGAGTTGGGGGGCCCAACTCGAAGGAAGGGGCCCATTTGAGGCGGCGGCGGCCGAAGGCCGCCTCAAATGGGCCTCTAACTAATCCTTAGACCACCGAAGACCGTGTACAACGGGCCCTAAAATGGCCTTAAAGGGCCCTCAGATGGTCTCAAAAGGCCCTCAGATGGCCTCGAAGGGCCCTCAGTTAGCGTCATAGGGCCCTCATCTGGTGTCAAAGGGCCCTTAGATGGTGTCAAAGGGCCCTCAGATGGCCTTAGGGAGCCCTCAGATGACCTCAAAGGACTCTCAGATGGCCTTAAAGGGCCCTCAGATAGCCTCAAAGGGCCCTCAGCTAACGTCAAACGGACGTCAGAAGGCCTTAAAGGGTGTCAAAGGTCCCTGAGCTGGCGTCATAGGGCCATGCCCTTGCGTCAAATGGCTCTCCGAAGGCTCTAAAGGGTCCTTAGCTGGTGACAGAGGGCCCCCAGCTGGTGCCAGATGGCCACCAGCTGGCGCCAAATGGCCATCAGAAGGCCTCAAACGGTCCTCAGTTGGCGTCAAGCGACCCTCAAAAAGTCTCAAGGGGCCCTAAGAAGACCTCAAGGGGCCCTCCGAAGGCCTTAAAGAGCGTCAAAGGGCCTTGAGCTAGCGTCAGAGGGCCCCCCAGCTAATGTCAGAGGGCCCTGAGCTAGCGTCAAACTTAAAGTGCCCTTAGCTGGTGTCAGAGGGCCCCAGTTGGTGTCAGAGGGTCATCCATTGGCGTCTAATGGCCATCAGAAGGCCCAAAAACGATCCTCAGCTGGCGTCCAACGGTCCTCAGCTGACGTCAAGAGACCCTCAAAAGGCCTCAAAGGCCCCTCGACTGCTCAAAGGGCCCTTAGAAGGCCTCAATGGGAACTCCAGAGACGTTAAACGGCCCTCAAAAAGCTTGAAAGGGCCCTCTGCTGATGGCAAAGGGCTCGCGCCTGAGTCAATAAGAGCCTTGTCAAAAAACGGAGCTAGAAACCTTGCCGGCCCTGGTTATCTGCGGGACTCCTACACTTACCTGAGTGGCCCCCGTTTACTGAGGGACCCTGGTTATTGATGGGGTCCCTGGTTACTTAAGGGGCGCCTGGTTACCAGAGGGGCCCATGGTCACCTGGTGGGCCCCTGATCAATTGAAAACCCCTGGTCATCTGAAACGCCCCTGATTACCTAAAGGGTCCCATCACTTGGATTCAGTGACATATCAAGGGAGCGAGGGGGTACGTGCCCGTTCTCGGGTTTAGGGTTCCTTCGAAACCGAGGGGCCCTGCGGCGCCAGTTGGTAGCAGAGGGTTCGCGCTGGCCGCACTTCAACTCGGAAGGACACCACAGGGCTTGTGAGGGGACGTTATTGGCTCCTATGTAGCCACAATTTTCTTCATAAAGGCCCAATGCCGGTTTCTGAGAGACCTCGCCGGCCGCTCAGGGCCCTAAGTAGTAACGGCCAACGAGGGATTGGCTGCTATGGCTCCACATCCGTCTATGATAGACACACGGTCCACACCAGTGTTTCTAAAGGCACCCACAACGGCAACTGCGAGGCCCCTCGC